ACTATCCATGTTAAATTGAAGTAATACTGTTTGAATGCACTATATAGCAGGGCCTGTACAGGGGGCAGGATTGTTTTCCACACAATTTTAAACATTCCAGAAAGTTACAACGCAGCAATTCCCCCACACACATCTTAGCTATATCATGTGGGTGAAAGTACACCCCAATACGAGTAAAAAAACGAATAAACTAAACAATTGCATTTTCAACAATTACACTTGCACATACACAAAGCACATATTTTGTGCTCACAATGAGCCTAAAATGCAAAAATAATAAGCTTAATTAGAGTTAGCAAAGATCCAATTACAAAAGTACAAACAGAAAATAACACTGAAAATTCTAACAATTGTTTTATATGTACAGTATATTGTAAAAATAATAAATACAGGTTTATTTATAATATATTCTCATGTTTATTTTTGTAAAGTCAAAATTTTGTTGCAATACAATACTGTTTGCAATGGTTACTCTTTTTTTTACACTGTGATTTTGGTGATTTGTATTGAAGTTAATTAGAGACAGAGTTTGATTCACAAATATCATAGTTATTAATTAATAATAGTATATGGAACTCACAACGATTTAAAAAACAAAACATACAAACATTTATTATCCTGTTTTTTTAATTAATAGAAAATAACAAGTAAGATTCCAATTATGTTTTGGACTTTTTTGAACTATAGGAAATGTCCCTAGTTTCCTTACTCAACTATGACTAGATGCCTTAGAAGTATGTATTAAGTGTGTAACTGCATGAGCCATTTTGTGAGTGCTTTCATTTTCATTACGCCATACAACAACATTTCACATTCATGTCTACCAAACTCCGAAAGGACAAAAACGAAGGCCCCATTAAAGTAGTCTGTGCAACAGACACATATTTCAAGTCTTCTGTAGTTATACATTTACGCACATGGCAGATGCTTTTATTCAAAGAAACTTAAAGGCACTGAATATCTACATTGTATCAGTTCATGCATTCCCTGGGAATGAAACACAAGACCACTGTTAGTGCCATGCTCTACTGTACAGAACCTTTATATGACTTAGAATATAGTGCATGAGTCTCTACTTTTAATTATGTTTTTTGGAGCTTGACATCCGTGGTTGCTCAGAAGAGCTCAGAAGTGACCTTTCACGACCCACAAATGCTAGAAAATTAGGGGAATCGCCACAAGCATAACATGCATTTTCTATTCGACTTCAAGGTACCTGTGAAAAGCAGATGTTTTCGAAACAGAGAGTTGAAGCATCTGCTACAGACTCCTAGAATGAGTGTTTGGAAATCTTGCTGCCTGCCTTTTATCTCGGGAATATTCCGTCCGCTCTGGCAGTGATGTGCTAATAGTTGGTGAACAAATTTAAGTGTTCCCTCTCTCGGGTGAGCCACAGGCTGCATGTTCACCAGCTTGACTGATATGACCACAGGCGCACTGTTGCCGCCCTCATTTCATCAGCTTTTCTCTTTCACCCCAAACCGTACCTTCTCCACTGCCATGAACTACATGTCTGTCAACCCAGATTATCCTTTCAATCAGGAAAAAATTACACTTAAGATGAAATTGTTTACATGAAGCCTGAATGAATATGTGTGCATGAACCTCCAGTAAGCGTGATGAAAATAAATGAGAAATATCTCTGTTTTTTAAAGGGGAAGTACTGTTCTACAGCCGGTTTCCAACTTCTCATGTGGGTCTGCCTTCAAAGAAAACGGAACTCTTCTGTGTAATTCACTTTGATATGGACTTGGGTGTGATGAAACTGACAGACGTCTGACGTCAGGCGAGTGGGATCAACTGATATCGAAAGCTGTTTGATGGGAAAACAAACCGAGGAATGCGAATAAACATCAATGAATAAGGCCCACGACCACCGTCCTGTGGCTAAAAGGTCAATGAGGTGATACAATGGCCCATCTACACATATTTGAAAAAATAAAAACAATAGTAAAGCAAATATCATAAAATCTATAAAAGACTGATATGTGATACAGTAAATTCTTAAAAAGAATGATATCTAGAATAGGAATTGAACTTATGTGGTGGTGGAATGAAGAGAGAGGAAGCCAGCTTCCTGTGTAACCATTTTGATTTAAAGATATCAAAGAAGTGAGACGGAAGCCACTGTTCTCTGTGCTACCACATGGTTACGGTTGGATGTGTATCTTCTTCTTGTCTTTTTTTTCTCTAGCCTCACACTTTCAGTATGACTGGCTCATTCATGAACAAACATACTGGGCCTAATTTTGAAATGAAAAAAAAAACGTACTCATTATTATGCTAGACAATGGAATCAAAATATGAGTTGCTTGGCTGTATCATTTATTTTTTACATAAATTTACATTTATTATTATGATGCAAAAAAAATATGTCTAGCTACTGAAACTGGACAGTTACATTACAGTGCATGTAAAATATGCACATCCATAAATGTAAAATATGAATTTTTATCAGTATGTGCATTTCTTGAAAACTGAACTTGTGACCATGGTGTTACAGCATCATGCTCTGAAGAATGCGTGCGGCCCTAAAGTTGAAGAATGACCTCCACCCTGATCTCAGCTGATGACACAACTAAAAGTCCACGCAGATCATTGTCAGTGAATCATAGTCACTCAGAAACATTATTCAGAGGATGCGAGAAGCAGTGCTAGTGTACAGAATAATCTTATATTCTGAATAACCTTACGATTTTATATTGTCAGCATGGACAATATAAAATTGTATGATTGCAAACATTCTTTAATTGTTTGTTTGTTGTAAAGGTATAGTTAACCCAAAGTGAAAATTTTGCCATTATATACTCACCCTTTAAGTTGTTCCAAACCTGTATTCATTTCTTTCTTCTGCTGAAAATAAAACAAGATATTTTGAAGAATGTTGGTAATCAAACAGTCGTTGGTCCCCATTGACCTCCATGGTATAAAAATACTATGGAAGTCAATGGCTACCAGGAACTGCTTGGTTACCAACATTCTTCAAAATATCTTTTGTGTTTCAGCAGAGAATGAAATTCATAAAGGTTTGGAATGACATGAGGGGGAGTAAACAAAATGTTTCATTTTTGGATGAACTATCCCTTTAAATATAAATGTAATTAATGTTTATTTAGTATTTATTGCAAGAAAGTTTGCATTCAGGGTTTTATACTGTATCTAGATGTACTTCAAAGTTTGATAACAGGATTGTAAATATTGCATACCCAAGTGATAAAAATGATATATACTATACTATACTATCACAGGGGCGAAACATCTGTGATGAGTGGCTCCCAGCTGATGACCCTGTGGCTGGAGGGCCGGAGGTGCGACATGCCTTGCGGTTCTTAAAGTCCTGTGCTTCTAATTACTTACAATTTTATCACATAATATTTAGTCTGACCTCCTGATGCTGGTGATTGAAGAAGGTTAACTACCCTTTTTCGCTGACCATTCATTAGAAAAAAGCTTGTTTTCTAACATAGTTTAAGATATTTTACTCAATGCAGCAGCAGAGGAAGGTCTTGACAGGAGTGTGATATACCTGAAGATATAGGTGAAAGATTACGCACTGCTGCCGAATGACGAAACATGGGTTTGCAGCTGGCTTTAGGCCCAGTCAGTGATGATTCAGTCTTATTAGCATATTGAGGAGACAGCAGTGGCTTTCTTTTAGTGCTAAACAGGTGTTCGTATGTGGTCGTGTGAATGTCTTCCCACACCACAGGTGTGAAGCACCATTGTGTCCTGACCTATTATATGCTATAGCTTCCCTGAATGTCTGTATGGATAGTATGAGAGTATGACGAGAGAACAGGACTGTACTGAATTTTAGTTCACATTAACTTGTCACATTAAAACTGGGCTTTCAACCTCACACTCCTTCGACAGCATGTTGTGTATGTGCTGCCTTTCTATCTGTCTTCTCAAGTGTATTCCCCCTCCTCCACCTCTCCATGTGCGGAGGCGTTGCCTCTGGAATCAGGCCGACATGGGAGAGGTTTCCCGGTCGTTCATAGGGAGGAACTACTGTGTAGTCTTGCCCATATATGGGGCAGATATCAGTTGCCAAATCATGAGTCAGTTTATTCCTGATCAATAAAGAGCTATGGTTAAAGCTTATATTTTAAAGTAAGACTCTCTAAAGACATTTAATAAGTCTATCTGTGGGATCAGACTCTTAAAGCTCTATGAGAAAGGTCTACTTTTACTCATGTTTTGCTTATTATATGACTCAGTACGTCAAAGTACTCAAATGCAAATGGCCAACATGCCCTCAAAAAAAACCCTGCATTATATATTCTCTGAATTAATTTGGCATCTTTATTTTATGTTACTCGTGAAGCTTAGTATGCTTTAGAGTACAGGGCCTTAGTGGGCACCTCCTGAAGGCCCCGGGGTGATGTGGTAGCTCTGACACATTCATCTGGGTTAAAATTATCCAATCCCATCTTGCCATCCTGTATTTACTTAAATGTCCAGTTTAGATGTGCCACCTAAATTAAAGGAATATATTTAGAGCTTGACATTTAAAATCACGTCCACTTTCGTTGTGCGTAAAAGAGCTGCTTAAACATTCTGTATAAGATCTCCTAAGAAAATAATGAATATTTTAATTTTTGTATATACTACTTCAAAGCTTATACCAATGATCCCTTAACGCCGTCTCCAAATTGCTTTTCTCAAGACCACAACAGAGTTTCTGTTTACTTGGCCATGGGAAACTTTTCTTAAATGTGCCTATGTAACTCTTGCGGCCAGTTTTTGCGTCTTGTCTGTGGAAACAAAAATAGGAGCGCAGTCTCCCTTCAGCTTTGCTCTCTCGCCCCCAGCGTTGTTTTCAATCTCAGCGGTTCCTGGCAACAACGTCATCGCTCATCTGACAGCTCGAGGAGCGGAACAAACTCTCGTCCAATCAGAGGCCGCGATTCTCCCGGACACGCCCTCGGAACGCAGAGTATAAAAGGCTCCGAGGCGCTTCTTCTGAGAGTGAGTGCGCGCCGAGACAGGAGACTGCGCGTACGACAGTTTGTAAATAACTGCAACAGCGAAAAAGCACTTTTTGGACATCAGCTGTCAAGGGAAAACACCTGTCGACTTGGTACAGTAAAGTTGTTCAAACTATTTTGGAAGTTTCTTTTCTCTTTGACATCTTTTTTTGCCTCATGTAATATTACGGAGAGAACAAGATTTGCGGACAGTAAAGTGTACAGGCAACTCAAAAACCTCCAACGTAATTGCTATTCACATGTCAACAAAAATGGAGCAACCGTTTTATCATGACGACTCGTTTCTTTCTGCTTATGGTCATCCAGACGCTGCCCTGCACGACTACAAGCTCCTAAAGCAGAACATGAGCGTGGGCTTCGGCGAACCTTACCGGAACCTCAAGTCCCTCCGCTCCGAAAGCAACTTCTACACTGCGGCAACCGCAGACGTGGGCTCGCTGAAACTCGCCTCTCCGGAACTGGAGAGACTCATCATCCAGAACGGTAGCGGCGTCTTCACATCACCCACTCCGGGGCAGTATCTGTACGGCCGGGGCATCACAGAAGAGCAGGAGGGCTTCGCGGACGGCTTCGTAAAAGCGCTGGACGAGCTCCACCAAATGAACCAAATGCCCCCGCCGAACGTGTCCATCGGAGTCGGCGGCGTGTCATCCTGCTCTGCCGCGTCGTCCGTCTTCTGCGCCTCCCTGCAGCCGGAGACGCCCGTGTACACCACCCTGAACAGCAGCAATCCCAACACTAACCTAACACCTGCAGCCAACTACCCGACAGCCACCATCAGCTACCTGCCTCACCACCACCAACAGTACCATCACCACCACCACCACCAAGCAACGACGCACCCTCATCACCATTTTCAGCACTCGCTCCATCATCCGCAGCGACTTGTTGCGCTTAAAGAGGAGCCACAGACCGTGCCCGACCTGCAGAGCAGCGACGGCTCTCCTCCCATGTCCCCCATCGACATGGAGGACCAGGAGCGCATCAAAACGGAGCGCAAAAAGCACAGGAACCGGCTGGCGGCCACCAAGTGCCGGCGACGGAAGCTGGAGCGCATCTCCAGGCTGGAGGACAAAGTGAAAGTTCTCAAGTCGGATAACGCCGGACTGTCCAGCACCGCCTCCCTACTGAGGGAGCAAGTTGCCCAGCTCAAGCAGAAGGTCATGACCCATGTGAGCAGCGGGTGCCAGCTGATGCTGACGCCGAAGATCAAGTCGTTTTAAACGGCGTTTCAACTTCCTGCGATGACACGGACACTGACAAATGGGAAACACTGGAAGAGCAGATCATGTTTGTGATGTTTTGATGCAAATGATATTGCAGCACTGAGTACGAGCGTTGTATATTTCTTATGTGTTTTCTTGTAGAAAACTAGAGTGTTAATAGTTGTTTTCAAAAGCATCTTCAAGGTACTAAATGCTGAAGAATGGACAATGAAAGCACAGGGAGAAACCTTTAAGTTGGTTTTGTTTTTAAGTGCTGCCCTATGAAAACATTCCAGTAAGTTATTGATATTGTGAGTCGGGTTGATCCAGACCTGTATTTCTGCTTGTTTTGTTTATAATTTTTTTATATTTAAGTAAAAGCGTTGAAAATACTGCCACTGTTTGGGTTGTTCATTTCTAGCAAACGAATAGCTCGCTCTGTATGGCTTTAAATTGACGTTGGAGACGTGCCCACGTTGGCTTCTTTTTCCTG